CCTCCCCATTGGGCAAGTTAACTAGCCTTCCTTCGCGGTGCATTTGCTGTTCTTAAGCAAGTGTGACGCTGGCCCCCGCCGGCCTTTTCAGATGCCATACATGTAGCCGTATGCAGCCGTACACGCAGCTGTACACGCAGCCAGACATGCACCCATACATGCAGCCATACGCGCAACCCCACAAGTGTGACACACTCCATTGGATCGCCACATTGGCGCCCACCCCGCCCCCGCCAATTGCATGACACACCCCGCCCCGCAGTCCACTACCCGCGAGACGAGGCGCCTTGCGGAACTACGCCTCAGCCCTGAGCAGTGGCGGACGCTTGAGGTACTCGCTGCTTTCCTCAAGCCATTCAACGCCGTCACTCTGGCCGCCGAAGGGTCCCAGTATCCTACCGTCAGCCGGGTGGTGCCGCAGTTCAACGAACTCATGGGCAGGTTGGACAAGCTGCAGCAGGACCCCGCGAACCCCCCCCCCCCCTCATCACTGTGTGCATCGGTGCAGCTCTGCCCAAACTGCAGGAGTACTACTGCAGCAGTAGCGATGAGCTCTGCATCGCGACGTTTCTGGACCCGTCCATGAAGCTGGGCTACTTCAGCCTCCCGCGTGGCTCCCTCGTCACCTCTGTTGTTGACCAGGTGCAGGAGGCTGATGTGCTAGATCTGGTGCGCGGTAAGTGGCTGCCCTACATGATCAAGGTCCGTGAGGCAGCGGGGAACGCTGAGGTCGTGAGGGGTGGTGGGATGGGGAGGATGGGAGGGGATGGAAGTGACGATGTCCCCGGCCGTTTCGGCTCAGCGTTCGGGGGAGATGACGACGACGGTGACAGTTTGGTTGCCCAGCTCACACAGCTCCGCAGCCAGCAATCCTCCCAGGTCAAGGACGAGATACAGCTGTATGTGGATGAGCCACTGGAGCCGATCTGGGCATCGCCGCTTGCCTACTGGCGCCGCAGGTCGGACCTTCCCGGACTGCAGGCGATGGCCAGGGATTACCTTGCCATCCCCGCTACGTCGGCGGCAAGCGAGAGAGTCTTCTCTCAGAGCCGCAACCTTATCACATGGAAGCGGCATCGGCTTGGGGCCGAGCGTGTGCGCGCCTGCATGACTTTGAAGTCATGGATTGCGTCGCACCCCGGCGAGCGGCTCGCCGACGCGCCGGTCACTGGGGATGAGGAGGTGGAGGACTTGGGGGTGGAGGTGGAGGAGGGGATGTGATAGAGGCGACGTCGGGGACTTGCTTGCCTGGCTGGCTGGCTGCCCTTGCCTTGCCCTTGCCCCGACACTTGACAAGCCCTTGCTTGCCCTCGATGTCATCTCTCTCCCTGACTTGATCAGTGACTGTCTTTGTTGGTTATTTATACCCCCGTGACAGCGTCAACTTATCATAAAAAATGTGCAACTGTCTTTGTTGGTTGCTGTAATTATTGATCTAGTGCACACATGCATTCTCCGTCCAGCCAAGGAACGGAGAAGGCTCTTCCCTTCTGCAGCACCAGACCCAACCTGCCAGCACGTGGTGGTCACGGGACGTGGTGATTGGACACCAACCTCAAGGGCAGACCTTTGCAAAAAAGGTTATAGGCACCCGTCACAACCTCATTGCCCTTGTTCACACTCAAAACGTGCATTGCATGGCAATGCACAGCTGGACTTACAACTCTGGCCCCCTAAAAGCACCCCTCCCAGAATGTGAGACAAAGGGAAGTGGGGAACAATGGCCCGAGTCGAGTAATGCTTGCCTCAGGGCGAGTAAAAACTACTCGCCCCGAGTAAAAATTTTACTCGTCTAAAAAACGAGTAAACGAGTCGGGCCCTTGAGAAAAAAGCTCGACTCAAGTATTGCTCGACTCGCCAATAAAGGGAGGCGAGTCATAATTACTCGAGGCAAGTTTTACTCTACTCGCCCCCTGCCCATCCCTACCCCAGCCACCATGGCCCTGCCAACATGGCCCTGCCACACGCCCCAGCCACCATGGCCCTGCCGCCATGGCCCTGCCACCATGGCCCTGCTGCCATGGCCCTGCCACCATGGCCCTGCCACAATGGCCCTGCGACCATGGCCCTGCCACCATGGCCCAGCCACCATGCCCCAGCCACCATGGCCCTGCCACCATGCCCCAGCCACCATGCCCCAGCCGCCATGGCCCTGCCACCATGGCCCTGCCACCATGGCCCTGCCACCATGGCCCTGCCACCATGGCCTACCATGGCCCTGCCACCATGGCCCTGCCACCATGGCCCTGCCACCATGGCCCTGCATCACGCCCCAGCCACCATGGCCCTGCCGCCATGGCCCTGCCACCATGGCCCTGCCGCCATGGCCCTGCCACCATGCCCCAGCCGCCATGGCCCTGCCACCATGGCCCAGCCACCATGGCCCAGCCACCATGGCCCTGCTACCATGGCCCTGCCACCATGGCCCTGCCACCATGGCCCTGCCACCATGGCCCTGCCACACGCCCCAGCCACCATGGCCCTGCCGCCATGGCCCTGCCACCATGGCCCTGCCGCCATGGCCCTGCCACCATGGCCCTGCCACCATGGCCCTGCCACCATGGCCCTGCCACCATGGCCCAGCCACCATGCCCCAGCCACCATGGCCCTGCCACCATGGCCCTGCCACACGCCCCAGCCACCATGGCCCTGCCACCGTGGCCCTGCCACCATGGCCCTGCCACCGTGGCCCTGCCACCATGGCCCTGCCACCATGGCCCTGCCACCATGGCCCTGCCACCATGCCCCTGCCACCATGGCCCTGCCACCATGGCCCTACCACCATGGCCCAGCCACCATGGCCCAGCCACCATGGCCCTGCCACCATGGCCCTGCCACCATGGCCCTGCCACCATGGCCCAGCCACCATGGCCCTGCCACCATGCCCCAGCCACCATGCCCCAGCCGCCATGGCCCTGCCACCATGGCCCTGCCACCATGGTCCTGCCACCATGGCCCTGCCACCATGGCCTAGCCACCATGCCCCAGCCACCATGGCCCTGCCACCATGGCCCTGCCACCATGGCCCAGGCACCATGGCCCTGCCACCATGGCCCTGCCACCATGGCCCAGCCACCATGGCCCAGCCACCATGGCCCTGCCACAATGGCCCAGCCACCATGGCCCTGCCACCATGGCCCTGCCACCATGGCCCAGCCACCATGGCCCAGCCACCATGGCCCAGCCACCATGGCCCAGCCACCATGGCCCTGCCACCATGGCCCTGCCACCATGGCCCTGCCACCATGGCCCTGCCACCATGGCCCTGCCACGCCACCATGGCCCAGCCACCATGGCCCAGCCACCATGGCCCTGCTACCATGGCCCTGCCACCATGGCCCTGCCACCATGGCCCTGCCACCATGGCCCTGCCACCATGGCCCAGCCACCATGGCCCTGCCACCATGGCCCTGCCACCATGGCCCTGCCACCATGCCCCTGCCACCATGGCCCTGCCACCATGGCCCTACCACCATGGCCCAGCCACCATGGCCCAGCCACCATGGCCCTGCCACCATGGCCCTGCCACCATGGCCCTGCCACCATGGCCCTGCCACCATGGCCCTGCCACGCCACCATGGCCCAGCCACCATGGCCCAGCCACCATGGCCCTGCTACCATGGCCCTGCCACCATGGCCCTGCCACCATGGCCCTGCCACCATGCCCCAGCCACCATGCCTCAGCCGCCATGGCCCTGCCACCATGGCCCAGCCACCATGGCCCAGCCACCATGGCCCTGCTACCATGGCCCTGCCACCATGGCCCTGCCACAATGGCCCTGCCACCATGCCCCAGCCTCCATGCCCCAGCCGCCATGGCCCTGCCACCATGGCCCTGCCACCATGGCCCTGCCACCATGGCCCTGCCACCATGTCCCAGCCACCATGCCCCAGCCACCATGGCCCTGCCACCATGGCCCTGCCACCATGGCCCTGCCACCATGGCCCAGCCACCATGCCCCAGCCACCATGGCCCTGCCACCATGGCCCTGCCACCATGGCCCTGCCACCATGGCCTAGCCACCATGCCCCAGCCACCATGGCCCTGCCACCATGGCCCTGCCACCATGGCCCTGCCACCATGGCCCAGCCACCATGCCCCAGCCACCATGGCCCTGCCACCATGGCCCTGCCACACGCCCCAGCCACCATGGCCCTGCCGCCATGGCCCTGCCACCATGGCCCTGCCGCCATGGCCCTGCCACCATGGCCCTGCCACCATGGCCCTGCCACCATGGCTCTGCCACCATGGCCCAGCCACCATGCCCCAGCCACCATGGCCCTGCCACCATGGCCCTGCCACCATGGCCCAGCCACCATGCCCCAGCCACCATGGCCCTGCCACCATGGCCCTGCCACACGCCCCAGCCACCATGACCCTGCCGCCATGGCCCTGCCACCATGGCCCTGCCACCATGGCCCTGCCGCCATGGCCCTGCCACCATGGCCCTGCCACCATGCCCCAGCCACCATGGCCCTGCCACCATGGCCCTGCCACCATGGCCCTGCCACCATGGCCCTGCCACCATGGCCCTGCCACCATGGCCCTGCCACCATGGCCTAGCCACCATGCCCCAGCCACCATGGCCCTGCCACCATGGCCCTGCCACCATGGCCCTGCCACCATGGCCCAGCCACCATGCCCCAGCCACCATGGCCCTGCCACCATGGCCCTGCCACACGCCCCAGCCACCATGGCCCTGCCGCCATGGCCCTGCCACCATGGCCCTGCCACCATGGCCCTGCCGCCATGGTCCTGCCACCATGGCCCTGCCGCCATGGCCCTGCCACCATGGCCCTGCCACCATGGCCCTGCGACCATGGCCCTGCCACCATGGCCCAGCCACCATGCCCCAGCCACCATGGCCCTGCCACCATGGCCCTGCCACACGCCCCAGCCACCATGGCCCTGCCGCCATGGCCCTGCCACCATGGCCCTGCCGCCATGGCCCTGCCACCATGGCCCTGCCACCATGGCCCAGCCACCATGGCCTGCTCACCTTCGAGCTCGGAGTCGCCTTGCTGCACGTAGCACACCGAAGCGCCTGCTGGGAGGTGCACGCACGCATGGGCACAGGCACATGGGCACAGACACATGGGCACACACACATGGGCACACACACATGGGCACACGCACATGGGCACACACGGGGACGATAGTCCATATGAGCGTATGCTGCACGGCGAAGGTACCTACTGCCTCACTCCACCTCACCCTGCCCCTCACACTGTCCCGCACACTGTCCCTCGCACTGTCCCGCACCCTGTCCTCTGAAGCCCGAATCTTTCCCCATGCGCCAGCGCTTCACACCCCCCCCAATGCCCCAGCGCGCCCCTCCCCCACCGTGCGCCATCACGCCCGCCTTTCACCACGCGCCTGTTTTTGGGTGCGCCAGGTGCACCACATTCCGCCGCGCGCCCGCCGCACGCTCCGCCACGCCAGCCGCGGCGGGGGAGCCGCCGTCGCCCACAATCACCACTCGCCCCTCCGCCGAGCCCGCCATGCGCCGCTGCTATCGCTGGGATCGCTGGGATCGCTGAGATCGGCGCGCAGAGAATGAGGCGGTGTGAGAGCAGCGAACGCAGATACACAGCGATGGTGCGAGGGAGGGGAACAGCGAGCAGCGTGCGAGGAGGCAAGGCGAGGCGATGAGAGCGAGAGCGATGAGAAGTGACGAGAGCGATGAGAAGTGACGAGAGCAATGTGAAGTGACGAGAGGGATGAGGAGTGACGAGAGCGATGAGAACCCCAAAAAAAATTAGGGTGGCAAAATGATATCCCTGGGGGTTTCGCCCAGGGGGGGTAACCCTGGGGCTTCCGACTGGGTGACCTTGGGGAAACCGACTGTCCAAATGCCTTTCGTTGTGACCCGTGGGAAACCCACGATGTCACATTTCCGAATGTAAGGAATTACGATTCCTTAGTGGGGCTCGCCACAGCGAGTACACGCGAACAGTGCACGTCCGCAGGCTCGGCCCTTGGTTATCGCGCCAAACCAGCCCCCGTCGACCTTTTCGGAACCAAACTGATTCCGAGTCGCCCCGAACCCTTTTTGACCCCGTCACCCTCAGATTACGGTTCCCTTGACTGGTCCAAGCCTTGACACTCAACCTGGTCAACTCGCACTATATAAGCCCTAGGTCTCATTTGGATAGGACACTCTGTAATCACGTTCCCTTATAGTATTCAGCGCTATACTCTGAGTTATAATTCATAACAGCTGGTATCAGAGCTACATTCCTGCCCATTAGGCTTCCGGTAGGGGAGCAGATCCTATCGGGGAAGGGGGCGGAAGGATGCAGATGGCGAGCGGACGTCGCGAAAATTAATTGCGCGGGCGTTGCCGATGCTGTTAGATCCTGTCCGATGGACGGCTGAGATTGGCCGGTCCTCCCCTTCCCTGGTCGAAGACGGAACTATTTCCCGTCGAAGAGTGGACGAAGTTTTCGCCGTGTTTTTCGGGTATGTTCGTTAGAGCTTTCGTAATTTTCTCGGACGGAGTCTTCGGATTGGCTTCCGAAAAACGCGAAGGCTGCGTCAGGAGGAGACAAGTGCACGAGAGTCCTCAGGCGGCCGGAAGTTGGTCGTCAGGAGCGCGCGGGGTGGCGAAAATGGCGCGATGTACGGCGATGTATGTCTGGCACACCATGTAGCGGCAGGGTGAACTGTAGCTGTGTCGCGGATCCCGGCGTTTCCAGCAGGCTAGTTGCAGGCGATGGACGGGACTTCAACACTATTTTGGCAATGGGCAGATCCGACAATTTCGGAACGACACGATCACACGAAGACGTGTGGGTGTGCAGTTGTATTGGAGTAGTTGGGATTAACGACCTCGGCGCTATACACCACGACGACCATTTGGAGGTGATGACGCTGTGCTGGAGTGAGTGTACTCAGCAAGGGCGACTTCCCGCGTGGGGAGGCGTTTTTCGTGGACCAGCGATTCATACCCCCACGATCAACAGAAACGGAGGCCACCACCCTTGGGTGTGTATTAAGTGTTCTTCCACCAGTCGCAAAATGCGTTACCTGTCAGGAGTTGAAGCAGCGGGAGAAGAACGAAGGGAGTACTGAAGCAGATGGGTTAGCGGCGTTCGGGCTGCTACTCGCTCAGCTACGTCGCCCCGAAATCACCATTCCCACCAGGTAGCAGTGTCGACTTATAAATCGATGGCTTCTAGCTGAATAAGGGGGGTGAACTTGCGAACTATAATATGCTGAGGGAGTGTCCCCGAAAATTTAGGAGTTACTATTGCAGTGGAGCTGAGGGTTTTTACCTGGTGCAGCAGACTGAGGTTCCGAATTTTGCGTGTATAGTTTGACGAGTTTCCGACGGGGGAGGGAGCTATCCAGCGGTCAGTAGGCAAGCTCGTTAAATCTCCTCTGACTAGAAGCGTGCACATTTCTATCTCTGCGGATTCTCCTAGTTAGTTAAGCAACAGTGAAGCGGTTTTGGGTAACCTGCAGCAGCCGCGACATGGGTGAATGTCTGCACGGCCAGCTGGACAGGGGTACCGGAGTATTTTAGAGTTGGGTAACAGCTGGGCGGAGATCGACGGCATATGATGCGGCTTGATCCTGATCGACGGCCAAAACATCATGCCGAGGCGGTGGACTCCGGTAAACCCTAAGATAAATGGTTCAGTTCATGCGTACAGCTGGTGGAGAAACCGTGGGGGCGCTGCTAAAGGACGCCGTGACGCCTAGGCATTTTTACGGTTAGTTGTGAAGCGGAGTTACGGTATTCGCGAAGTACCGAGTGGTTCCGACATTTTCGGTGGGTTTGTGGAGCAGTTCGAGCATTTACAGCTGGAGTTGTGCCCGCTATCCTCCGGGGTACGAGCAACATCGACCGATATTCTCGGAATATTTTGGGTGCATAGAGGAGGAAAAGCGCAGCAGCAGTTTCGGCTCTTCCCCAAAATTTCGGCGTGTACGGACAAAGAAGCTGATGCAGCTAGCGTCATTCGACTTCGGGATTCGTTCGAGGTTTTTCTTTGTAGCGGGATTCGTATCGGTTACTCTCCATCATCATCGTTGTCAGCATCTCGCCATCACCCGCTACCGCCTCCATCGTCAATTCGGAAGATTGTGTGAACACGACCCTGCCTCGACATTCGAATCTACAGCAGAAGTATCCAAAACGAGCAAATTTTGCAGCAGTACTGTTGGAGCTTTAAAACCAGCTCGCCAGCAGTGGTTGCCCTTTGAAGAATTTTGGAGTTCGTGTAAGAGTCTTCTAGAGCAGTAGTAACAGAATTGCATGACCATTGGAGCAGTTTACCCTGAGGAGGCATTCCAAGTTTGGAGCATCTTTGGGCACTATAGCGGTTGGAGTTTTGCAGCGGCATATTGAAAGATGCGTATCAGAATTTTCAGCACCGTCTACCCTGGAGCGGATTTTGAAGTCATCCTGATTCGCGTTTTTAGTGGCTGGGATATATTTCAACGGCATCTTCGAAGCTGAGTACGAGACTTTTAAGCAGCAGCGTGAGATGATTTAGACTCCCCTAGAGCATTGGGTTTTCTGAAGTTTTACCTGGGAAATTGGGAGCTGTTTTCTTCTTGGAGGGGGGAGAAGTGCAGCTGTGTTGCAATTTTCCGACGACCTTTCCGGCGTGTTCCATTAACCATTTTCGACTAACATTAGGCATCGTTACGCTTCCGCACCTGATTTCGTCACTTCGTTGATGGAGTTTGCTGACTTTCGTGGGACACGGACGCGTGCTCTCGCATGTGACACGAACGACCTCGCGTTTGATAAACGGGTTCTTCATTTCATCGACCATCACGTTATTCGCCCGTCATCATTTCAAGAAATTCTGCTGCCATGCGCCATCATCAATCGACCACTCGACGGTTTCACTGTTCATTGTCTTCCGCTGGAGTATCTACCCTTGCCCGTTTGGTCACTAGAAGAATTCGACCATCTTCGACGATTGAGATTAAAAGCGATCGTTTCGGCGCTTTCTGACCATTGATCGCAGTTCGACCTCAAGACCTCGTCAGGCCGGCGTAATCATTACGCTTGTCACAGGGCTGAAGACTTACAGTCACTTCGGGGATTAACTTAGATAAAAGGTTCGACCTCGATAAAGGGGGTGCCTTCCTTTAGAAGGTGGGAGAGTGTAAGGAATTACCATTCCTTACTGGGGCTCGCCACAGCGAGTACACACAAACAGTGCGCGGGCTCGGCCCTTGATTATCGCGCCAAACCAGCCCCCGTCGACCTTTTCGGCTCCAACCTGATTTCGAGTCGCCCCGAACCCGTTTTGACCCCGTAACCCTCGGACTATCGAGCCCTTGACTGGTCCAACCCTCGACATTCAACCTGGTCAACTCGCACTATATAAGCCCTAGGTCTCATTTGGATATGACACATTGTAATTACGTTCCCTTATAGTATTCTGCGCTATAACCGAAACCTTCGGGTTACCCTCAAGTGACATCAGGGCTATGTGGGGGGAACGCGAGGGCATCCTTTTTCCAAGGCGCATCCTTGATACATGCCTTTCGATACGCGTACAGTAACTTATAATACACATGAAAAGTAATAAAAGGCTCTCTCATACAGAAAATATATTGGTAAATTCCATTCGCGTTCTTCTCCAATGCTCATTCGCCAATTACAAAACCGACAGATTTTACATGTTTACAGAAAAAAAAAATTGACAATACATACACCATAAATATTTTGGACTGGAACAAATGGTTTATAACTCCTTGGAGGTGACAATCACCAACCGGAGTAAACATAACTTGCACAGTAAGGATGGAAACAGAAAGCAATAAGCAAAACTACTCAAAAAAAAAAAAAAAAGACAGGGAAAGTAAAAAGAAACATAACCAGAGCAACGCTTCTTACAGTTAGGCAGCCAGAGCCCGGACCAGAGAGACGCTTCACTAAAAGAGTGTTGGCGGGACACAACCCGAACCTCTCTGTACAACTCCGGTAGGATAAGAGACATCGCAAGATGGCACGGCTGTTGTGATGAAACAAGACAAAAAAAACAGGCATACACAGGTATGCAGTGGCAAACCGCGAAGATGTGCCTTACCCTTCATCGTAAATGGCAATGAGCCACTGTCGGAAACGCGACTAGTATTTGTTAAAGTAAGAAAAAATTTAACTAGAACAGGACATACAGGGGTATATAGCCTAATGGGTTGTACTCTCTAAGGCACAACCCTATATAGTCTACTGTAACATACAATACATATGTTTGGATGTTTGACACACCCCCTAGACTGGAAAGAGGCAAGGCCTGATGAGAGAGAAACAGCTCAGGGTGGCACTAATAGTCCAGCCTCTGAAGCAGAGGTCTAAAGACCAGTCAAAACAAGTACAGGCAAGGCAAGAGCAAGACCAGGGTGGCACTACTAGTCCAGCCACTAGGAAGAGGCCACAAGACCAGTCAGGGTAATATATAAAAAGGTCTGTACACAATCAAGGTCCTAACAAGTGAGAGACTACAGGAACGAGACCTAGCTGTACACACTGCTGCTGATGATCTTTAGGCGCAAGTGCCTTAGTAAAGATATCAGTTGTGTTGGCACCTGAGACCAAGTCTACTATACGAGCCTGGCGGCGCTGCTGCAGCTCGCGTAAAAGGAAGTACCGCAACTGGATGTGCTTCGCTCTGCCCTCAAGTCGTGGCTCCTAACATAGGAGGATCATGGCCCTGTTGTCAGCGAACACAACCGGGGCAGAGCTAGGCCACTCACCCAAGTCGGTGAGCAAGAAGGTC